GGCGCACCCGCGGCGGCGTTTCACGCGGGGCGGGGAGCCGGAGGGGGAGCCGTGCTGCGCCTCCGCCGCCGGCAGAGAGAAACCGCCGCGAGTGGGAGCCTGGTTGCGGGCGGGCTCAAATTCCCGCTTCTCTTTTATTTCGTGTTTTCAGTGACGCCCTTTCCCCTTTGCAGCTGAGCCTGTGTGTCTCTCTATAGCTATGCTTGCACCTGTTTAGAAAGGAAGGTTATATATGAGATTGTATACTGGACTCCGGAATTATTTTACTGTCTCTGCCTGGGAATAACTTTGTGCTTGCCTGGATTAGATGCACACGTGTACCATCTGTTCCCTCTATTTCCCAGACCTTTTTATAGATAGTTCGGGAAAAAGGGGTGCAATCGGAGAGAAAGGATTCAAGGCTTAGCGCTCTGAGATGCTTGCAGCTTTTGTAAGCAAGGAGTTACAGTAACTTAACACAGAATTAAAGTTTAAGTAGATCTGCATGACACAATGGTTTATATTATCATTTTACACCCAAACCAATTATTTTTCCTCTTTGTTTTAATTTCTTCCTAGATTCTTGCATTGTTAGTGACCATCCAAAAATACAAATCAAGAACTCCACTTTCTGTATGAGTGCCTATCCAAACTTGACTATGGTTAACTTCACCAGTGAAGGAAACAAAACATTTGTCAGTGGAAGTGAAGAATACTTTAAGTAAGATCATTCTTTGATTAGAAATGCTACGCTAATCTTTTGCTAAAATCTGTGGTAACAGACACCATAAATAACTGTTTGGAAGACTAGGTGTACAATATCTAAGGAGAGCACGTGATGCCTGCTATGCATGCAGGCAATGAAAACTAAATTTATAGACGTGTTATTTTTGCTCTGGCACTTAGCACAGCTGGGGTGCTGGCCCATGCTTGGCTTTTTTATCTACTACTGCAATGCAGATAAATAAAATAATATGTGGTGCGCTTCACTGGAAGCTTCTAGAGAAACCATTCAGAACTGTAAAGCAATGCAAAGTCTCTGTCATAGGAATTTGCACTGAATTACTGCCTGCAGTTTCTATCATTATTTTTTATTTTTATTTTTATTTTTTTTTAGGTACTTTGTATTGAAGATTTCAGCAGGGATTGAATATCCTGGTGAGATTAGATGGCCCTTGGCGCTGTCTCTCTTCTTAGCTTGGGTGATTGTATATGCCTCCCTTGCTAAAGGAATCAAGTCATCAGGAAAAGTAAGAAGAGTAGTTGCAATCTTACATTCTCAAGAACGCATTGTGCTGCTTTAAGTGAATCGTGTTCTTGTTTAAGGCAGTAAATCACTGAAAAACTGTTTTCAACAGATGACTAAATATCAGTGAAATGCCCTTTTTCTGTCTATTTATTCCTGTCTACCCAAAATATAACAAGCTAATTTTGGTTCAGTGCTTGTTCCCTGATCTTCAGTAACTTTAAAACGAGCCTTTTACCTATGCTCGGCAGTGGGATGACAAAAAAGGGTGCCTTGGACAGCTTCCCCTGCTCTATGTGGCATTCATCAGAAATTCTGTAGTTACCTCCAACATCGCTGCAACCATAGAAATTAAGTAATATCTCTTAAAATCAGAACAACAAAAAAAAATTGTTTTATGGTCAGTGTGAGCAATGACAGCAGATATCCTGTTTTCCTAAATATTTGTGTTCCATCTTCTTAAAACTCCTCATTGCAGTAACCCAGGCTAAAAAGATTAAAAAAAAAAAAAAAAGAAGCTGGAGCAAGAAAAACTAGATGTTTCCTGTTATAAATATAGTGAATATACAGAGATAATGCTTAGATAGAAATTGATTTTATTACCTTTATACTCACTGCATGGAATTTGCATTCACTGTACAAAAATGGATCAAAGAAACTCCTTGGAACGCCTCCTGAAGCAGCAAGGGGAAAGTTGTAAAGGGAGCAGCAAAAGTCACTTAAACAGAGGATTCTGACTGCTTTAAGACTGAGGTTAAAGTGTAAAGGGCTTTACAGATTTGGGGCAGAGTGTATTTCCTAACAGATCATAATTTAGCCATTGTGCTTGATCATAAAGACAGCTCCGCTCTGTGCTAGATAATTAATAAATATTAAACACATAACCTCATTAAAATGATTATTAGGCCTGTCTGGATCTTTCTAGGGTCTTTTTGCATTGGGCCCATAAACGTTTTCATGGTACTATGTAATTATTAAGAGATAAAAAGAGGAATAAAAATTCTGCAGGCTTAATTAGGTATAGAGCAATGATGTGGGCAAAATCTGAACGGCAGCTGGTATAGAGTGGCGTTGCTCATTTCATTTCCGTGGAGCAATCTATGTTAGCTTATCCTAGGTAAGGATCAGACAACGCTTCTGTTTAGCTGTAAATTCCTATTGTACTTCTCCAGCTTTTCTCTTCTACTTTGTCTTTCCTGATACATCTGTCTACAATCCTATTTCTTTTCACTGTTACTATTGATATTATTCCTGCTTCTAGTAGCAAGAAGAGCTGTAAAAAATGACAGCTCTGGCAAGTTTATTGGGAGATAACTCTGCTGTCTGGCTAATCTTATCCCCTGGCTGTTGCTTCTGATCATGGGTAATTGCTTTTTCCAGGTAATAATGCAGCACTTGCATTTTTTTCCTCTCTTCTTATAGGTCCAAATAAGCCCTTTCAATAAACTTTTTTTTGTCTGTTCAGGTGGTATACTTTACAGCTACGTTCCCCTATGTAGTTCTCATCATCCTTCTAATAAGAGGTGTAACCCTGCCAGGAGCTGGAGCTGGAATCTGGTACTTCATCACGCCAAAGTGGGAGAAGCTAATTGATGCTATGGTGGGCTTATTATTGCACTTATGACTCTGATAGGGTGAATAATTCCAACAGATTTACTACTTAATGTCTCTTGCAAACATTTTCTGTGTGCAGTGGCAGTATTGTCGTCTGTGGAATCTTGTTCTCCATCTGACACAGAGTGTTGGGACAGTGGGTGTTTGTCGTTTGTGCGTGCATGCCTGTTTTTTACCTATGTTATTTAAGTAAGAGGTTTATTTCATATTTGATATTTCACCAGAATCCTCTAGATGAGCTTCCAGAGTAGGTGCATTTGGAAAAGGGGAAATTGAAAGGAAGGTCTAGATTTTTAAATGCTGATGTCTGAGTGGATCTTGCTTTTACTTGAACATGACTTGAAAAGCTTGACATGAAACTTTAAATAGGTAATATAAAAACCTATCTACATTTCTGTAACAATGCTCTTGAAATGCTCAGAATTTGTGCATTTTACTCGCTGTTCAGATAAGATTGTTCTGAAAAATGAATCTGAGACACTAGATTGGGTTGTATAATTTGATTTAATTTAATCTAGCCCTTGCCAGCAGCACGTGTACTTATGTAGAATAGTTATGATCATTATCCTAGCCGTGCTGTAAGAAACAAGGCGCACTTTCTGTATAGTAGAGGTCAGAACTAAGGGACTTGGTACCTAGCTCTGCTTTTTAGGAAACATTGACTGTGTGATTTGGAGCTTGAACTCTGCTGTCTCCCTTATGATTTCTGCTGATTTGTAAATAGCCGTTTGTTGCTAATTAACCCAGTAAAACATGTTCTAAAGATATGCATGGATTTGTATTTGTAAACCCATGAATTCGCACAGGGATCACATGTTTGTCTGGCATGGCACCTGAGCATCTGTGTGTCACTCTTCAGGGTCCCTGGGCAGTACTTTGGAGGCTGAATTGAAGCCACAGCTATGAGGCTGTTCTCTTGAAGTTTAGGAGCGATTTTTAGCAACACCTCAGGAAATAAATAGACTTTTCCAAGAAATTTCATCATCTATCAATAACAGTGTCATATCATGCTAATAGATTGAGAATTAAAATTGGAAACTGTTTCCTGGCTGAATTCTGCAGATCTTCATTTCCTTAACATCCTTGCAAATAAAGGGTATTTTAACCTGTTAGTGCTTTGAGTATTAAATATTTGCAAGCAATGTAGAAACCTATTTTTGCATTAAGTATAAGCATTTTGGATCCCATATTGTGAAATAAAGGAGGTGAAAACTATTAACTTTTAGCAAAATAGCACTACCTGAATACGTAAGTATCTGTCTAACCCTGTGTGGCTTCTGTTTTTACTTTTCTTTGCAACATATAACATGAATTAATAGCTGTATATTGTGTTCAGCCGGACAAAGCACTGGCTACTTGGTGGCTGATATCTTTTAAGGTGGCCTTAAAGTAATATCTTCAAACTGGTTATTGTGTGAAAGTTAGTGCGGGTAGGTGTATCTATATATAGATACATCCGTTTCTGCAAAGTAAATTTTGTTTGTTTGAAAATCAAACTTTGTAGAACAGCTTATCAGTAGTTTTTAAACTGCTGCATATCAAGCGATGTAGCTCATTGAATATTTGTGCCTTCTGTATGCGGCAAAGGTTATATTGTCTTTTTAGATTGGCTAAACAAGAACAGTACTCCTAAGTCTAATTATATCAAATAAGCGTTATGTATTTCAGGGCAGGATTTAGTTCTTAATGATATGTTATTGACATCCATTGCTCTATAGTTCATTTGAACTATTTATGTGTTAATTCCTTAACAGTGACATTTAATAGTGTTGTTGATCTTTCCAAAGCTCTTCCCTGAAGTTGATGCTATTTCCTCTCTTTCCTCCCCCGCCCTTTTTTTTTTTTTTAAGGTTTGGAAAGATGCTGCCACACAGATTTTCTTCTCCTTATCTGCAGCATGGGGAGGTTTAATTACTCTCTCTTCTTACAACAAATTCCATAATAATTGCTACAGGTACGTGAGAGTGAAATCCATCAGTCTTATTAAAGTGGCCTTGTCCCAAAACACAGTCTTTTTCCAACTTGCAGTCTGGCTGGAAAGAGCCTCTGCTTTTTTTCTTTCTTCTTCCTGGGTCAAAATCTATTAGATGAGCCTTAGACTTATCATAGTCCCTATTGCTTTTCAACTTAAAACTGCTGATTCTGAAAATGAAAAGCCAGTGTGTGACACTGTCAGCAACTGTGAGCAATGTTATGAAATGAAGCCAGTTGGCAACTCCTATAGAAGAACAACCTGTGTGTAGAGTGAGCTGAAGTTTGCCATTGTGCAAGACATGCGAGAGTATAATAATATGCAATTTCTGTGTATGTGATTCTTAAGGGATTCTTAAGGGATCCTAAGGGATGTTTTTGCTTTTCTAATTGCACTTATCCTGGTTTTGCAGGTACAAAGTTATCTCTTGTAAAATTTGAATTAACTTTTATTTGAAATCAGTGAATATGTTATTTTTGCAAGGAAAATCCTTGTTCTGTTGGCATAGGATAGTTTTTCATCAAAAAGTGCGCCGAAGAACATTTGCAGATGGAAAAACCAAAAGCAAGTGACACTAGCAGAGCCGCTAATCTGCATGCTCTCCATTGTCCTCACTCCTTTACTTCACTGATATTTCACTGTCTTTAGAGTCACTCTGGTTTCTGCTGAAGCAATGCTTTACCAATTCCTGTAATGACTGGGGTCCCATTTGGGACAGCCCCCAGTGTGCGCTTACCAGCTGGACAGGGACTGTCCTAAGGAAATACTGCAATACTTTCCTGAATCAAGACTTGAGAACATGTTCTCCTTAGGATTCAAACTTCCATATCCTGTGAGTTTTCGAGTACTTGCATTTTTGCCATTGTAACAGATACCTCAGTGCTTTTTAAAAATGTGGGTCATCATTTCAAAAAAGAACCCCTAAAATGTTTCCAACTAGTCTCCAAAAGTCCTTTAATATAATTACCTAAAGATCTGGATGAATATATAATAGTGCTGTGCACTCAGTTGCTCACATCCTGCAGTCTTTTGGCGCCTGCTTTTAAGAATGCCTGTCCTTTGCTTTGCTTTGTTGCTGATGAATGGAAACATCCAGCCTTGGAAAATCTCTTCCAGAATATCAGGGCAGGAATAAAAAAGGGATAGCAGTCATGCTAGCTTTCTGCATTAATTTAGCAATAGTTTATGGAACTTGGAAAATGTTAATGGAAATTTTGAATGAAATACATAGTATTGAAGCATGAAGATATTAAAGGTCTAAAATTAAATACATTCCTTTCCTATATTAGTGAGGAATTTGGGGGACTGAAGCAGAAATAATTAGAAAAGCTTAGTTGCTTCTAATCTGATGAATTTTACAACACGGCTTCAATACTGAAGTGAAGCACAACTATTTTCCTTTTGAATGTTTACATTCATTACTTTCTAATATTACAGATACAATTCTGTTTTTCACTCCTATGCCCATTTTAAATATAATGAAATAAATCATAATTGCAATAAGTTTGTATAAATCCACTTCCTAATACAAACTTAAAATTTTTTTACTTAAAACTTTGTTGCATTTTGGAAGAAGATTAACACATGATGTTTCCAAATAGAATGTTGTCATTTTTTCTATAGACTTGAAGAATTAACTTACTCGTTCCTGTCAAGGGATGCTCTATTAGAGATTCCAAAAGTCCATCAGTTCAGTGAGGTTCTTGACAGCTTTTCAGATTCATTTTGCTCCTGACAAACAAATAGCAGTAAGAAGGAGCATTTCTAGTCAACTTTGAAAAACTTTTAAACCAAGTGACTGGTTTGCTCCTCAGTCATTAGCTATTTAAGGGGAAGTCTTTTGGATACACCTGCTTGGAGGACAAAATAAAAATCCCATCAAGATTGTAACAATTATGGACAGGGATCACGATGGCTTATTTCCTATCAAGTCACATGTGCTAACACAATCTAGCATGATATTCAGGTATGGGTTTCTTGAGATTCCCATAATAATGACGACTGAGAATGGTACCAGAGAATACTCTACAGCCAGCTAGACTGGCAGGCACTTAAGGAATGCTTAACCATGAAATGTTCCATATAAATACAAGAAAGATGCAGGACAAAAATCATCATAATGGATCTGTGGTGGTTACTCTCTGTGTAATACCGTGAGCATCACACATCAGGCAAAAAGCAAAATGCTCTGTTACAAATGATGTCTTCGTTGCTACCTTCTTCAGAAAGGCCAAGAGCAGAAAAGCTCAGCCTCCCGCTTGGCCTGTGGGAGACTTCCTGTACGGCATGTGGGTGAAGGAGACACGTACAGCTGATTGCTGCGGGTGTGATGAAGACTTCTGTCATCTCTGATCAGCGTCAAATGTACCTGAAATGTGCAAAAGGATATGGCTTGGGATGATATACCCTCACTGCGTTCCCGTGGAATGTGTGCATTCATATGAGAGAGTCTTGAAATGTATACAAAACCCTCGCTTGCATGTATTACGACCAGGTGACGACGATGTTTTTGTTTTCTTTTCAGGGACACCTTGATAGTCACATGCACCAACAGTGCCACAAGTATATTTGCAGGCTTTGTCATCTTCTCAGTTATTGGCTTCATGGCAAATGAGCTCAAAGTAAATATTGAAGCTGTGGCAGACCAAGGTATGGTATCCTGCTGTTTCGGTACTTAGAACGGATTCTGAAGTGCAAGGTGCAGGTACCTGGTAGCACCTTCCGCTGTGTAAATGATGATAACGTTAGTAGTGGAGAAGGGAATACTGGCTTCAGATAGGAGTGGATTAGTAAATCACTTGTAGGCATCTCTGTCAGCAGAAAGTAAGCAATCATCATCACTAGGAAGTCAAGAAGGCCTCTCTTGAGGCCTCCTTATCACTTTTTGGTAAGAGAAAGATGCCAGCTGAGAGTGATTTCTAATCTTTAAGTAAATAACTCACTGGGGTGGGGTGAGATCTCCCTTTTATGTACTCCATGCAGTCACTGGTGGTCTTACCTCTCTCTGCTGTTGCCTTGTCACATCCACCTGAAGCTAAAAAGTTGCTCCAGATGACAGGAACTTTGGATGAAAGGGTGGTGGTCTTTGCAGTGGAGGAGAGGAGATTAAATATGTCCTGAGTAGTGGAACAAGCTTCTGAGCTGTGAGGAGCAAGAGCTTGCCTCTGCAGGGAAATAAAAAATTTGAGCAGAACTGATGATGCAGATTTGAAGATCTTGGTTACTGAACTGAGACCATTATGGATGGGGATTGGTAAGGTCTTAACTGGTAGAGCTGAATGTGAGTGAGAAGAGTGTGACTGATAGATGAACTGGTGCTGTCATGTATTATTTGGTATGGAAAAAGCAGGAGATGGGAAGGGAGGAGGTTTTTGGGGTAAGATTCAGAGAGACATAGCAAAGGGCTGCAGAAATCTGATGGGATAATAGAGGGATAATTGTTGCCTTAGTCTAGTCCTGTCTTTTCCTGTGAAATATTCTCAAATATTAGTGCAGCACTTTGACTCTAAATCATTCTCCCTAAATATTTAGAACCATTTCCAACTGTATTAAAAAGAAAAGAGATGATTTTGTAATAACTCTGCCATAACTTGTATATGTATTTACATTTCCCTGACCACAACAGTTCCTGTGTATATGTGAGGGAGTTAAGTGTATTGTATTAACTTTCAGAACAGATGCAATTGTTTTCAAGAACTAATCAAAAATAGGTTCTCTCTGAGCCATGGGGAAGGAAGAGGGGATAGCACAGAATAAAAAGAGGCTCTGAAATGGAGGAGGACTAAAGAGTTCAAAAAGTGAATGTCATACTCATGGCTCCTGGGCATGAAGGTCCCTCACTGTCTGCATTAATGAGAAGACGCTTAGCATTTTTTAAGATAGGTTTATTGCGTGGACAAATTCCATGGCATGTAGCCTAAGGTACCTGGCTGACTGAGCATCTTGATTCAGAAACTGTATTAATGAGTTGATAATAGGGGACAGAAATCAATACAATTTTCCATAGTTTATGCATGGTAATATTCATAGTTCATTCTAGACAAATTAGGTGTTTAGGTTAATTTGCATTTGACAGTGTTGTAGGAACTAAATGGAAAACAGACAACACGGGCTGGGAACTTATTCAGAAAACCTGTGTGGATGTAGGAACGGTAGTTAGTAACGTGGCTGAAGCAGTCGTCTCTTTTTTTTTTTTTTTTTTTTTCTCCTTGAAAAATACTTTCTCCCAGCACTTTGGTGTTTCTAATTTTGGATCTATTACATCTAAAAGGAGGAGGACAATAAGAAAAGGGAATAAGATGTTGCTAATTTAAGGGGCAAAAAAAAAGGCTTTTAATTCCCCTTTGTCTTTTCATTCTCTGTAAACTGAAACATGCATAATCAAACATGCATAATCTGCAGTATTTCGTCTGACATGAGAGATACAAATAAAGCTGTCACGTCGTGTTTAATTTCTGTAGCAACTTCAGTTAAATTGCAGACCAAATGCTGGCGTGAGGTGAAGCTTGTGAACTGCAACTCAGCTATAGGGAGTTAGTCTGGGACCTGCTGTGCTGTGGATTCAGCCCAAGGGTTTGAGAGGAGAATTTCATAGGATGGCCAGCTGGCAAACTCTGTTTCTTGAAAGCAGGTATTAGGGGATACTGCACTTGCAAGCCAATGTAATGTCAGTTCAGTCCTCAAGGCATCTTTTTTTGTTGTTGTTTTGTTGTTATTTGGTCTGACAGTCAGCTAAGTGTGAATAGAAAAGTTTTAGTGTAGTCCCCATTTCTTGGCTGAATTAGACCCTTGTGTTTGAAAGACTCTAAGTGAGCTAGCTGAGGGTCTATTTTCATCTCCGAGCTGTGTTTAGCTGCCCTCCACTACGCGTCATTTGACCTGTGCCTTGTGACAAGGCACTAACGTTGGTTTTGTCGCCCTATGCGATCTTATGTGCCTTCTGTATGCCAACAGCCATCTCCTGTTGACAGTCCTCGTATAATGACAGCTTTCCTTTCTCATAGCAGAGAAGCATCAGAAACAACTGTTTGCTGTGGGTTATACTCATATGAATGATGTTCTGAGGGAGCTCTTTTCTGCACCAGGAAACACATTGAAATCCCAGACAACTGAGCAGTAGAGCATGTTAGGATAACCCATTTTGTTCTTGAAAATAGATAACTTTTTTCAACATGCAGCACCAAAGGGAACACCTTTCTGTCCCATGCAATCAAAAACAGGCTACATAATTTGTTTCTGACTTTGCTAGGCAACTTAGGTGTTGCATTTGCATTTCCTCTCTCTCTAAGATAGTCTTCTACAAAATCCAGGAAGATGTCAGCTATTTCTGAATACCTTGTTTATGTATATCTGAATACCTTACGAGGTATTTTCCTACTGAGCATCATAATTATCCTTAGAAAATTCTTTTATGATTTACAGAAATAACTTGGGATACAGTGGCATGGATTCAAAAAAAAAAAAGCTATTCAAAGTATTAACTCTGCTTTTCAGAGTGGAGTGGTAGTCTACAAAATATGTGAGGAAAAAATTGTTTATCGGTAGTGTATTACTCTCTCATTCACACCTTTTTATTCTGATCCAGCTCTCAAAACTGATGGTATACGTATCCTCATTCACTCTCCTGTGCTGGTTCTGCAGTCTTGATCCTTTCGCTTTGAGTTGCTAGAAAAATCCTTGCTAGAAGGTTGGATGCTAGAAAAATCCTTGCTAGAAAACCAGGTGTTTTAGGAGTAATGTTTCCATTAATCTTTTTTATTTTAAACTTTACTTTAGACCTGAAGCAAACAACAATCCCCCCGCCCTCACAAATCCAAAACTGCACTGCAGTCACAGAAATTATTGCAAAGTGTTAGATTCAAATTAAAAAAAAGAAGCACATGCTTGACCAAAGATACGGTGGGAACTCTGAAGGGACTGAGAGTATGAGAGATGCAGAATTGTAGCTGTCAGAGGTGAGGTGGAAAACATCTGGTTCATCTCCCTGATTTCTAGTGCAGTAGATCCCAAACTCTTTTCTGTTGAGCACTTGTTGGAGGTCTTTGAATAAGTGACTGGTCACATGGCGGAGCTTTTCTGTTTCCAGCTGTTTCAGCAGATGTTCAAGGGAATGTGAGAAAAGCTGTCAGCAGACAATCTTATTGTGGGGCTGTCAGCGCATTCGTAAAACCCCATTTAGGCCATTTAAAAATATTGCACCAGTGTGAGGCTTTTCCACTCCACTTCCACAGTGACAGGGGAAACAAAATGTAGTCTCATTATAGAAGAAAACTCTATAGCAGGAGGACAGTGACAATTAGAAAAAAGTTACTGACTGAGTTAGCATATTGGAAAAAAAAAAATTAAGCAGCAGACCCAACAAACTGGGAAAACAAGCAACCCCTTGTCCTCACCCCCCTGGCTTTATTCTAAAGTTTTATTATTTTTTTGGAGAAAAGAAAACATCAAAACTGGTTATGATAAATAACCTCATTTCATGTTTCCAGAAGTTTGAGTGAAATGGTTAGTGAAAATAGAAAGGGTCTTTTCTTGTTGTTTTCCCACTTTTTTCTAAAGTATAAATGTGAAATAATATACCTTTTCTTTCATTTAGAATCTTCCTTAACTGGCACCTGATATTTCTGAGTTATGAGGGACTGCGACTGAGAGATGTGCAAATTCGTATTGTATAATTAAACTGTTAAGAACGCTGTGATTAATGGGAACTGTTCTGAGACTTAATTAAAACTTTTAAATGCAGGAAGCTAGTGCAAATAGAGCCCTCTTCTCTAACAGTCAAGAAGAAATCTTTAATCAAGAGATGAAAGAACATGTTCATGAATAAGTAATATTTTTCACATGCACCTTTCTACTCAGAAAAGCTATCTTTCTGCTGCAAATTTTAAAGACGGCAATGCTTACTGAGTCATGTACAGTGGTGCTTTTACAGTATTGCTAACTCTTGTGTTTGTCTCTTATTCAGAAGGATCTCCAAACGCTTTACAAGTCACCTGTGGAGATTATTTCATAGGCTGCTAAAACTGTGTGTTTTTTCTCAGTGTGTGTGAGAGCAACAGTCACCTCTTTAACAGAAACAACGTGGGAGCAGTAGGAAATGGGATCCTATAACCCAGATTAGCAGTGGCCAGGACAGTGCGACTTTGCACCTCCTCCTGCTGTCATGGGTCGCAGAATCAGCTGAACTTAACTCGCATTTATAGCTCACCTGAAGGGAAATAGCCTTCCCAGCATTGTGACCCAGAGGTGCCCTCTGCTGTAATGCTGCCACCAGTTCCTGCAGGATTTTCTCCCAGGCAAATTTAAGCACACTTGTGAAAATAATTTTTCTTTACTGTCAATAAAAATTATAGCCCAGGGTAAGAAAACCGGCCCAGAAAAGGGTCAAATTCCTGGTTAAGGCTTTAAAAAGTATTAACTCCATATTCTTTCTTCTGTGCATTACTTCAGTATTTTTTTGTGGATTCATTTTAGATTGGTAGTAATTATTACCACGTACTTGAGATTAGCTCTGTGCATTTGTTAGCTGCTGTCCTGCTCATTCGATTATGTGCTGATGAGGTAGAGTACTCTCTTTTCCACTCTAGTGCCGAGGTGCGGAGGGCTGCCATGCTGATCCAAGGTCCGGGCTGTTAATAGCTGGGGGACAGTGGTGGTGGAGGGGACAATCTGATCACAGAGCAGAAAAGAAACGTAGGCCCAACGCAGAATTTCTGCGGATCTTTCTTATACAGGCCAGTGTGGAAGTACCAAGGTTAAACAGGTATTTTGCAGCTTGGAGAGTAGGAGTGCGTGCGCGTTCTGAGACGGACAGCCACAATAGATACTAATCGTGTAAGGCTAAATTCTGTAGTAGTTAAATCTTTTTGTAGACAGGAATGACGAAATCTGATCCTTTTTACTTTTATCAAGCACAGTAATATTGTATTATACTTTGAAAGATCTCATTTCTTTCTCTTCCACTCAGTCAACAATGTTAATGCGATGCGAGATACCCCAACCTTTATTTTTATCGCTCCTAGGTCCTGGAATTGCTTTCGTCGTTTACCCAGAAGCCTTAACGAGGCTTCCTCTCTCTCCGTTCTGGGCTATAATATTCTTTTTGATGCTTCTGACGCTTGGATTAGACACTATGGTAAGCTGCTTTTGTTTCCCGTGCCTTTCCTCTTGCTTTGCCTATTTGTCCTGAAGACCATGAGATTACTTGCTGTTTTCCATGTGGTCAGCAAACTGCTCTGCAAAGAGAAGAATGAAACAAGGCTGTTGCTCATTTGGGTGAAACTTCAGCCTTAACATCTGAGCATTTAGTGTCTAAGTCTCTAAAAACTGTGTCTAATACTTCAGCATACCTAGTTGGACCATTTTGTGTACATAGTGTACATTGAAATTAATCCTTTTATTCTGTTTTTCAGTTTGCCACTATTGAGACTATAGTGACCTCTGTTTCGGATGAGTTTCCCAAATACTTACGTACACACAAGGCACTGTTCACTCTCGGGTGCTGCATTTCCTTTTTCATCATGGGATTTCCTATGATCACTCAGGTAACATTGCCTTTGAGCAACACTGGCTGTCCCCAGTCCCCCTCTGGTGGCCGTTCTGTTCTCGTGCAAGAAACAGTTGCATGAACTCAAGCTTGTTCCATTCAATTAAATGTGCAGGGGCATGGGATGATTTTTTGAAAGCCTTATTTTTTGGAGGCTCTGAGAGACTTTGTTGATAAAATCTCTCTGAGAATTAGGCTTTTTAAAAATTAGCTCCTAGCCAAGCATCCTCAAATTGGTCACATAAAATAGCTATTCATTTTTTTAAAGTTTATATAGCATAGAAAACTGTACAGCAATTTTGGGTGCCTTTTCAGATATGTACAAATTAGATATATATTGAAAGCCCTGAAAAACTGTGGAGTTGATGAAATTCTCGTCTGCTGTTGATAGTCTTCCTTGTTTCTTTTTGCTCACTAATTCCTCCAGTGTTGTAAACTCTTAGCAGCTTCAAGAGTAAAAAAATAACTTTTGCATCTTCTTTCGTTCATCCTTTTTTCACCTGTCTTTTCTTTTTCACCCCCATCTCATCATTGCCACACCAAATTTCCTATTCTGAAGTGTGGGAGGGATAATATTCTGCTTATCTTTGACTTGAACTGTATTACTTAATCCCTATCCTGAAGATAGGCAGTTAAATCATTTTTAACAAAGAAATGAACTGACCTTGCTACTACAGTATCCCTGGTTTAAATGGTGCTTTTGCTTTTGAGGCAGTATTTAGTGGTTACACCCTCTGCCAGTGGCAGATCTGATTCCACTTCATTCCTTGACCTGAAAAGACGGAAACCGATGTCTCCCACTTGTCAAGAGCGTTTTACTACCAGACTCAGGCATACCCTCCACTTATTTTCTTTTTGAGGTGGACTGTAATGCAGAAAAGGATTACAGTGCTCATCCAGCCAGAAGGAAGAAACAAGAGTGTGGCATGAATCTGTGGCCTGATGATGTTAGGATGCTTATGTGGGGTGGAGAGTCCTGGCCTCTGGCTCCCGTTCATTTTGCCTGTTTAGAGGCAAAATGTGCTATCCGTGCTTATAAATAGCCCAGTGTGCTTACTAGTCCTTATCAATAGCGTCGTGATACGTATAGGATGGGGATATTGTCGTATACAGGTGAACAGAGGCGGCACATACATGCCATGAGTAATGGCTTTTTTCTCCTTTGTCCTTTAGGGTGGAATGTATATGTTACAGCTTGTGGACACCTATGCAGCTTCTTATTCTCTTGTCATCATTGCCATCTTTGAGCTTGTTGGAGTTTCCTATATATATGGTAAGGAAAAATACTGTTATTGAACAGCCTATGTAAAAGGAACATTTTTGCATATGGTAACATAAATGGCATCATGAAACTCTTAAGGAAAGAGGTAACATTTTCTTTAAAACAAAAAACAAAAAACCAAAAAACTAATCCAGAATTAGGAACATTATTTTGAATTGAGGAGTTACGGGACTATATTACTATAGGATTCCTTTAAGTATATATATTCAAAAGACTATTTTTAGCCTAATGTCCTTTTTCTACCAGTAGCTAAAAGCTGGTGCTTAGAGATAGGTATAAAACAGAGAGCATTAAGTGAGCTGTTCTTCAGAGACTCACTCATACTCCAACAGTTCTGTGGCTCAGACTTCCTGAGCTAGAAGTGGCATCTCTGCAGTTAACAACTTTTGCTGGATTTATTTTCGATGCATGCACCCAGCCTTCCCTTTAGCCCGTGTGTGCATAACACAAATCAAGACCATGCTGTTACCCTTAGTCATTATTTATATACAGTGGTAACACAGGTTGTAGTGAACTGTATTGACACGCTGGTTTTTAAGTGTTGTCATATCTTAAACTACAAGGAAGAACTTGAGCTGGTATAAACTAGTGCAAATGCCTTGATGCGACTATAGCTATGCCAGTTGATGCCAGCTGATGATCCACTCCCAAACTTGTCCAGTGCTTCCAGGAGACTGATTCTTGGAAACGTATGATGTCAGGTGGCAGCATTAGGGAGTGTGAAGGTCTCACTAGATAAAAGGTGATTAATCTATGTCTGGAGTATGTGGCTGGCACTTGAGAGTTATCTTCATAAGCAAAGGAAGTTCTGAACCTCAATGTAAAAGAAAGCAAAGATGTCATCGTTTCTGATGCTGCTGTGGGCAGGAAGGAATTATGTATTATGTATCAGCTAGTCATAAACAATCCTAAGATTTTCTACTGAAGATGGTTATCTAGCAGGATGCTCTTTAGCCCCAGTCCCATCTCATGATGTGCACTGGATGTATGTATCTACCTAAATTGTCAGGCCCACTCTGCAATATAAATGTATGAAAAGATCTGATGTAACTCAAACCACACTGAGTTTATTCCTCTCATCTGAAATAGAAAAAGGAATTTATAGAAGCAATATGTATATTTGGAAAGGACATGGAATCAGGGCAAAAAGAGGATGATTTACTCACTCTTTGTCTTTCCTTCTCCCCCCCCCCAAAATTATTTCATGGAAATACATAGGTATGTTATCCCCACAGACATCCAATCCAGTGAGCAGGCTTCAGTGGCTGTAAGCTAAGTCAGAAATGACCCAGTGAGGGAACGTTACCAAACACAGTGGAAAATGTCAAAATAATAAGTGAAGACTTTAGCCTGTTCAGATTTTGGCTGATCAAAATATTTTTTGCTTTTTATATCACTGAAATGTAAGTATTTCAATTAGAAATGGTTTAGAAGTGTAATCCCTGTGAATGAAATGGTATTGGTAACTGCTATCGGCTTTACAGTCAAATAATCTCCTCAAAGGAGCTGAGTGTAGTGCTCTGAGGTCTCCTAAAGTGCAGCCCAGAAATGGGATTATTTAGCACAACTCCTGGTTTGAAAGTCAGTGCTGGCAAGCTGTGTTGTTTCTGTGCTTCGGTTTCCATGAAGACATGCAGGAGTTGTGCATTCCCTCCCCAAGGTTATCTCCAGCTTTGGCACATACTGGCCCTGTGGAAATGCCACCCGGTACACATACCATTTAGGACATTTGTGCATGCTCTGCGCTGGGGGGCCCCATAACTCGCAGACATGTTGTAGTGCAGCTGCTCACCTTTGCTCACTATTGGCAGTTAGTTAGCCACCAAACAGTTTCTTGTGTGTTTAGCTGATGTTTTCCAACAGTGCACTAGCTTAAAGCCGTGATAATTTGGGGGACAAGTTAATGCTTTTTCTGATTTTTATCTCTTTGTGATAAGTCAGTGGTTTCTGAGCTGTCCTCAGTTAGCATCACACTTCTTTCTGTGAGTCCCTTTGTTAATATCCATAGCCACAAGATTATAAAATCTAATTTGAGGGATCTTGTGACCTGTAATTGGATATCACTACTAATATATCATAAAAGGTGATGCCAGAAGTTTTTAAAGTGGAATGACTGTATACTGGTCTGACAGAAAAAAAGTTTTCAAAAGTGGTTTATGTACCTCTGACTTTCTATAGACTAGCTGAACAACCACAGGATTTACTGAGAGATGCTCAAAAGCAAATCCCCAAGACTGAGGGACGCTCGATCTTTAACGAATACATTCAAAAAATCCAGAAAAAAAAGTAAAGAACATCTTCATTAGCTATAAAACAGTTCTGTCCCCAAAGTGCATGATTAGCTTGAACTGCTGATCCTATTAAACACTTCTTGTCAATCTGGCTGTTGCACCGACTTCCCAACTTTGCTAAAATTGAAACGGTCCCGTAAGTAATGGCAAGTGGGAGTACTCAAGAAGAGTAGGGGTTTGGGTTCTATTTTTTTTTCCTCATTTTTTCTTATCCTTTTTCTTAGTGCATGTCTGAATCTATGCTGTGGTAAAAGTACTAGATGATGCTCCTTTCCTTGCTAATGTTATCAGTAGCATCACTCAGTCTGTGCCCAAAAGGTTGTCTCCTCTAAGCCATCACCATCAGCATGCAAGATAAAAATTTCTTGCAGAGAATAATAATAGCCAAAAAAACCCTTAAATCTCGGAATTGTTTTTTGCTGCATGTGTTTTTAAATAAGCATGAAGGTAAACAGGGAGAAAATACTGGATCTATTCCTCCTGTGAACACTAAGTGGCAGAAGTACTACAAACCTGCCTTTATGGAATGACATTTTATTAGACTTGTAAACAGAACGGCAAAGACTTGTGCCTATTTTCCTCCAACAAATTCAATATCCCTTAAAATACTTTTTTTTCTGAAAATATATAGTAATACAGAATAGTTACAGCATTAGTAAGGACTTGAATAGCTGAGATAAGTTTCTGGCTAGGATGTTACTTTAATGTAATTAGACTTGGAAAAGATTGGATACATTACAAATCATTTTTCCACACTCTGTACCAACTGATTGGTAATCAACAGATCCTGGTAAAGTCTTTCATTTAAAAAAAAAAAAAATCAGAAATTATTCCCTAGAATTAACCCATTGCTAGACTAAAGAGCTTGTATGCTTTCAGCGCCAAAAATCAATGATTTATCTTACAATCTTTATTCACTTGAATAATGCACCACAGCCACTTTTTCTGCATCAAGGCTACTTTTGTAAGGATTTTGTTCACAGGAGTACAACTTGTATATTTTTGATTTGCATGTTGCAAATAGAAGTGAAGCTGCTGCTCTTACTATATTCCTTCAAGCAGTGCTTAAAATTGGCATAATATATTTTCAAGCTCAGACAATTGTTTATTTTACACTTCACTGACACTTTTCTCTATGTACTTGTACTCTTCTCAACAAGTAGGTTGGCATGGTACTAGCAGGTGCTTTTATGATTAAATACATCTGTCCTTAGTTCTTGTTACATGTTCTGCTTGCTGAGCTTGTTGAGATTAACTTAAAAAGAGGCAATCTTAAGTTATTTCCTTGCAATCACTTGTTTTTCATTAGAGCTTGCACTACATAATCCAGCTGGATGTTGCCTTTTATTATACATGGTGGTACAGATGTTTATTCTCCAGTTGTTTAGGTTATGATGCATGATTGCTAAAGAATAGTTTAGAGCTATGGGTATTAATTTGATCATTAGCATAATTCCCAGTGGGGTTTTAAGTAACATGAGGCAAATACAAAGATTCCCTTGCTTGAGTGAAATAGTGTAGGAAACTGAAATTAAAAATGTATTATCTTAACTGTTTTCCTTAATCCTTCTAGTTTTTTTTTTTTTTTTGCCAATTTCTTGGTGGGGAGGTTAATCATCAGAGTGAACAGTAATTGCTGCAGTGAATGTACACAATGTTAGTATTTATGAATATTTTACATGTAGCAAGATATTTAAGTGGTTATCTATCATAGTTTGCCTTCCACTTTTTATATTTCTTAAATCTGCAGCATTTATGAATATAACTTCTCACTCTCTAAAGTGGAAACAGAGACGAAACTTCATGTACTGTTTATTTCCCAAAGCCATTCAGCAAGTCTGAGCTGAGAGGGAAACCATGTACGCTCAGATTTGACCAGGATTCTGTGAACTAAAGAATTTTTTGTCTTTTACTGTGGAATTTTATGAAACTGTTTTCAATCATTCACCAGGAAAACGATGTGCACTCTGTAATCTCTACACCTGATTACATGTGTTTGACTCCTGAACTGCTAATATTAAAAAGTGGAATTAAGCTGAATATCTGTGGACAATGCTATGGGGAGAACTCAATTCTCGCTTGCTCTCTTGCTCACTTTTTTTTTTTTTTTAAAAACATAACACAGGTTTTAGCTTTTCTCCTATGGGGTATCTGCCCAAGGTGGCTTACTCTGTTCTCACTCTCTGAAGTCAGCCTTGAGCTCTGCCTCATTTCTAATAGCATCTAGCTTGTTCTTATTTTAGAGGTATCTGTAATAAAGGCGCATCAGATGATGTCAAATTTTGAACCCTTGCTACTTTTTTTATATGCTGGGCCATCTTTTTGGATAGATTCAATTCTCCTCGATATCAACAGAAAGGCTTCAAAATTGGGTGGATCAAGCCTGGGCATTATCTCTTATGTTCAGCAGCTGCAGTGGCTGGTTATAAGGGCAATGAGAACATAAAGCAACTTATTACTCTTCTAAATTTTTCCTTCCATACTCACTGAGTTCCCTCCACCATTTTAAGCTGCATCCCTGTCGCAGCATCATAAAAATTAGGCTAAATGCCATAGAATAATGTTCTGCAAAATTCAAATGGAAGAGACAATCACTTGCTGCAACAGACGAAATTGGCCAAAATTAGAAATGCTTGTATGACTGATGAGCTCAACCTGGGACCCCAAGCCTCCCTCTTGCTATCACCATAGGAAAAGCCAGAACAATTTTTGATTCTGTTTTTGTTATTTTTGGGATAAACGACTAATAGCTGTGATACTGAGTAGGGGCAATTTACCTAAACAGCTATGCAGGACAAAACGGAAAGGCAAGCTGGGTTTTACCATTAGGGCGCTAGCAACCCTGGGTCAGCACACCTTTTTGAGTTGCATAGCACGGCCAGGGAGATAGCCATAGCATGCTCTGTGTCAGGGCTGGGTTTACTCCTGGGCAGAAAGTCACTGAGCTAGTTCCTCTGCTGTTATAAGGTCTGAAACTGGAGTTGTTACTAGTACACGTAGCAGACCCATGGAAACACAGCAAAGCCCTTCCTGAGAACGTTAGTTTAATTAAAGAGGAGATGTGATCCATCATACCACAGAATAATCTTTAAAAGATATAATGACCCTTCACATAATTTGGGGAAGTACAGTTACATTGTTATCTGATGTAAGTAAATACAGCCGAGGAACCTGGCATCACCCCTTCAAAGAGAAAACAAACTTCATTTCACTCTCTTCAGTCCTGTGGCCGGTTTCTCACTTGCTTTCTTTCTCTCTCTCTCCCTCCCCCTTTTTCCCCTTAGGTTGTACTTCTGCCTTAACCTTTGATTGTATATACTTCATAGAAAAGGTGGGGGGGTATTCTCAGATTTGAGGACAGATCCTTAGCGAGTCAAGGTAGTGAACCTATGGTGATAAGTAAGATGTGACAGGTATGAAGGCGCTTGATAATATTTTCACTTTTGCAAATACAGATGAGTGTAAAATACAAAAGTTCATGGGTGATGATAATTGAATTCAGTGAACAGAGTATAGGTTGTCAGTACCAAACATGATCTAAATATTTTTGTTTAAAACCAAAAGAACGTTGTCCTTGAGCTTCCAAAAATAGAAGGCTCTATTTTCTGTGGAGTACAATGCAGGACTGAACGTTATCCGTGGATGTTGTCATGGCACTGAACTCGGATGCCAGGAAGAAATAGCTGAAATATCATTTTCCAGTCTTGTGCGTTTTAGTTATTTGAGTAACGATATAGGTGCAGTCAATACAACAACCTGAAGAACCGGCATTAATACATTGATCAATTTGTTTGATCTAACAACATAAAACAAAACTAAAAATCTTTATAGATGCTCTCTAATATTTCTAAGTATTGCTTATATATTAATTGAAAAATAATAGGACATTATCAGTTTCAATGCTAAATGATATGATCGTGCCCCAATCAAATGGTAGATGTAGAGAAACTCAGATACTGTCTGTGCTGAAATAGGTATGCAGATGACGATTTTTAATGACTGTGTATGGCATGTTTAAATTGTAGTTTGTTTTAAAATTATTATTACATGTATTAGTGAGTTCATCTTTACAGTGAAATACAACAAACGAATATGAATAGAATTGCAGCTAACCAATACACTCTATTAATACATTAATCTGAAACACACTGGACACTGGTCTCCATGCACCAGCTAAATTTACTTTAATGCTTAGGAAGCAAATGTTTGATTAGAATTATTCCCACCGTAATATTCTCACTTCTTGCTGTATGCTGAGCTCTTCCATTGAAGTTTTCAACCAGAAAGTCAAGAGTTTGTTATTATAACTAGACACAAGGGAGACAGCAATAGCTTTGCAAATTGCAGCTGGTTTCTTTCCTCCCTAACTGTGTTTACATTTGCTATTTACAGGATTGCAAAGATTTTGTGAAGATATAGAAATGATGATTGGATTCCAGCCAAGCAAATTCTGGAGAGTCTGTTGGGCATTTGTGACTCCCACTATTTTAACAGTAAGCAAAAAATTTTTGAATATTGTCTTCTATGATTTTGTTGCTGTTGTTAATGCAATAAAAGTTGTTTCTTGAGCAATCATGATGTTTCTGAGCAGTAGTAATTGGATTTTGGTTGTTAATTGGCCAGATACCTAGGCACACGCATATACAGATGCTTGTGTTTTTGCATGTGTATAGTAGACAAAACGGAGCATAAGTGATGGTACTTTGGTAGAGAGGGATGGTGAGTCTCCAAATGCTGCTGCTATATTCTTCCCCTGTCTGTACAAAATGCTGGAAGGGCAGCCCACTGCACACCAGTATCTTTTGACTATTGTGTATCTGTGTATTTGATATATATGTGTGTGTGTGTCTCAGAGAGAGAGACTGGGAGAACTATTTGATCCTCCTGTCTTTTCTCAGGCTGAGTTAGAGAAAAACACTTTGTTGCATCATAAACTACTTTGAGAGAGACATACTTTGGAAAGACTTGAGTGGAAATTTGAGTGACAAAGCTTTACCAACAAAATATGGAGATGCTATGCAAAGGTTGAATGGCTATGTCTTCTTTTTGATAACAAAAAACAAAAAAAACCCTTTCAACTTCTATTTTTTAGAAAAAAGGAAGTTTGATTTCCAAAACCATCAGGCATCGAGGCACGAATGTGCGGGGCACAGATATCTGCCAGTTCTTTCTTCAGGCTTTGAAAGGTGTTGAAAGCAAGCACCAGTTGACATTCAAACACCTAGAAGCTTTACAGAGTATATTTTAGTGTGGGAGAACTGGGGGCCTCGGTATTTCTTTTTTATTGTTAAGCCTGGCCTCCCCTGGCCCACAGGGAACAGCAAATGTTTCCCTGGATGGATGCGCTCAGGCCCTGTGAGTTGCTGCCCGGCTCCTGTCTGCAAGGGCAAGAAACAGGTCTGGCGGCGCAGAGAGCAGCGTGATGCCCTGGGGCTTCCTCTCCTCCTGCTCTGGGGTGGTGGAGGCCCGGCGGCGGCGGCTCAGCAGGACGGGAAGCAATCCCTTCCCCGTGCCGCGAGGTGTCACAGTGTGGCAGCAGTTCGCATGCATATTACAAAGGAAACAGTATTTTGGAGAGAGAAGCAAGGATTTTTCTGGGGCTGTCAAGGTTAATGTGGAAACAGAGCTTACTTGCACGTGCTTCGTTTAAAAAAAAAAAAAGAAAATTCTTTTTAGAAAACTGAAGTTTCTTTGTATCCCTCCC